CTATTTACACTATTTACATTATTTGGACTGTTGTCCTAATCTTTTTCTTGCCATATTCACCTTCAACATCTGTCTATTTCTCAGATGACGTATTGTAACTGTTTACACTATTTACATTGTTTGGACTGTTGTCCTCATCTTTACTGCCATATTCACCTTCAACATCTGTCTCTATTTCTCAGATGAGGTATTGTAACTATTTACACTATTTACATTGTCTGGACTGTTGTCCTCATCTTTATTGTCATAGTCACCTTCAACATCTGTCTCTATTTCTCAGATGAGGTATTGTAACTATTTACACTATTTACATTATTTGGACTGTTGTCCTCATCTTTATTGCCATATTCACCTTCAACATCTGTCTCTATTTCTCAGATGAGGTAATGTAACTATTTACACTATTTACATTATTCAGACTATTGTCCTCATCTTTATTGCCATATTCACCTTCAACATTTGTCTTTATTTCTCAGATGAGGTATTGTAACTATTTACACTATTTACATTGTTTGGACTGTTGTCCTTATCTTTCTTGCCATATTCACCTTCAACATCTGTCTATTTCTCAGATGACGTATTGTAACTGTTTACACTATTTACATTGTTTGGACTCTTGTCCTCATCTTTACTGCCATATTCACCTTCAACATCTGTCTCTATTTCTCAGATGAGGTATTGTAACTATTTACACTATTTACATTGTTTGGACTGTTTTCCTCATCTTTATTGCCATATTCACCTTCAACATCTGCCTCTATTTCTCAGATGAGGTATTGTAACTATTTACACTATTTATATTGTTCGGACTGTTGTCCTCATCTTTATTGCCATCTTCACCTTCAACATCTGTCTCTATATCTCAAATGAGGTATTGTAACTATTTACACTATTTACATTGTTCGGACTGTTGTCCTCATCTTTCTTTCCATATTCACCTTCAACATCTGTCTATTTCTCAGATGACGTATTGTAACTGTTTACACTATTTACATTGTTTGGACTGTTGTCCTCATATTTATTGCCATATCCACCTTCAACATCTCTCTCTATTTCTCAGATGACGTATTGTAACTGTTTACACTATTTACATTGTTCGGACTGTTGTCCTCATCTTTCTTGCCATATTCACCTTCAACATCTGTCTATTTCTCAGATGACGTATTGTAGCTGTTTACACTATTTACATTGTTTGGACTGTTGTCCTCATCTTTACTGCCATATTCACCTTCAACATCTGTCTCTATTTCTCAGATGAGGTATTGTAACTATTTACGCTACTTCCATCAAACTGTTGTCCTCATCTTTATTGAAATATTCACGCCGCATCATCCGTTGTACGCTTCGGCCTTCGTCAGGATCTGTCTCTATTTTTGAGATGTATTTCCCCCCATCTTATCATTTTAATTGTGATTCATAAATATAAGTGTAGTTGTGAACACCACTACATAGGGGTGGAGGACGTGTCAGCGTTTGGATTTGAGAATAAAGCAACACTTACCCGCCAGGATTTTGAATCCGGATGCCAGGCAAAGTCAACTAATTAATACTTCTGGCTCTTCGATTGAAGTGCATGTTATAAATAGCAGGAATTGTGTCTTTGATTTTAAGGTGGACCGTTTTTCGATTTTATCTAGCTCCCTCATAGCGCCTCAAGATTCTAGAGTCATTGTATATCATATCCCGTCGGCCTTGCCCGCTGTAAACAGAGGGAATGCTTACTGGGTCTGAATGTTTTTTTTCCCCACTCCATTCGTTATCATTAATTAAATTTACACGTTTATTTTTTTATATCCCAGAAAGAAACTTGATAAGGCTGGGACGAAACCGGTTGTTCTTTGTTTTTTTAATTTTTAAAATATACATTAAAATGCCATATAAATTATACTTATTCCTAGCTATCCTTAAATTTTGTTCTACAAAAAATTTATATAAATATAACCATTCGTCCTTGCATGGAGTATTGCTGCCATATATGATCTGGAGCCCCTTCTCTTTGTCTCGGGGTCCAAGATAAAATCCAAAGACGGATATGCAATGTAATTGGCCCTAATCTGGCATCTCTTCTGCAGCCGCTCTCTCACAGACATCTTCTTCTGTCTTTTTTTACAAATACTTTCACGGTAACTGCACCGATGAGCTGCTTTCGCTGGTTTCCAGACTTCATGAATTTAAGCGTCCAACTAGGCTGGCATCTCACTGTCACCCTTTCACTGTCGAAACTGTTAAATGTAGCCGTCCCTTCAACTCAAATAGCTTCATGTCTCGCACGTGGAACTCCCTCCCCATTCCTTGTTTTCCTGATAGCTCTAATCCCCAACTATTCAAATGTAATATCAATCGATATCTCCAGATTCCTTGATCATCTATCCCCTAACCTTCTCTTCATCCTTTCCTCTATCCCTCCTATTTGCTCTCGCTCCAACTCTCTATAACCCCCTTTCGTGCTAGTGGCTTCCCGCCTTCCTTGGGGTGAAACCCTTAATATATATATATATATAGATACACCTAGTGAGCCAGACAAACCTACCTAGGTTTCACCTAAACGGATCGTCAGGGAGAGTCTATTATATATATATATATATATATATATATATATATATATATATATATATATATATATATATATATATATATATATATATAATAAGTAGGAGGATTTGATAAACATATAAATAAATTCATTGAGTCTGATATAAACCTCAACAGGAAAATAGAGGAAGCACTGGACGGCCGTTTCGTCCTATAATTGGGACTCATCAGCAGTGCGCATCCACCACCAGGTATCGAAAACCTGACAGTTGGGTTGTCAAGCAGACAATGTACCAACTGTACCAACCGGGCCTCGACACCGAAGAGATTCATATCAGACTCAACATAGCGCTGCTCACTCACATATTACGTGGCGGTTTTCCTGTTGAGGTTTATATCAGACTCAATGAATTTATTTATATGTTTATCAAATCCTCCTACTTATTATATGTGTTTATCGTTGCTTGATCCGGCTTCTAATGCTCCACTTGGCGCGGCTTGGTGAGAGTAGTCGTGGCTCCCGGGGGCACAGTCTTATGGTTATATAGCGAACTCAGGAGAGTTCCGCCACGGAATATGTGAGTGAGCGGCGCTATGTTGAGTCTGATATGAATATCTTCGGTGTCGAGGCCCGGTTTGTACAGTTGGTATGTTGTCTGCTTGACAACCCAACTGTCAGGGTTTCGATACCTGGTGGTGGATGCGCACTGCTGATGAGTCCCAATTATAGGACGAAACGGCCGTCCAGTGCTTCCTCTATTTTCCTGTTGAGGTTTATATCAGACTCAATGATTTTATATATATATATATATATATCATTTCTGTAGTTTACTGCTTCCAGCAAGCAGAAATATTTCTTCTCCCGATGATGGTCATTTTTGCCGAAACTAGTCGAGGAATCTAAATGAAATAATAATAAAAAAAAACGAAAGAATATTAATCTACAACCCAGTGTGTCTGAAGATGTTAATATGTTTTTATTGTTCAAAAAAATATATATATATATATATATATATATATATATATATATATATATATATATATATATATATGAAGGTATTGAAAAGTTCATAGCCTGACTATGAAGGAGTGATATTAGAGCTGTGAAATCTTACATGCATTAATTGGCCCTATCTGATAATCACCTATTTCTGAACATGAAACAGTTTTCTGCAAACCAGCATCACATTGATGACGACGTCATATCTGCTGTTGATGACTTTTTTTGACAAAACAGGCTGAAAGCTTCTTCACCAATGGCTTCAAATTACTGAAATGCTGATGGAAAAGAGAAATATTTTTAAAAAAATACACCTTATTTGATCTTTTACCCTGAACGTATCTTGGTCAACCTCTGAACTTTTCAGCAGACCCTCCAACATATACGTGATTTTGTCGTTAAGTCTCTAACTTCAAGGTTTAATTGTTATCTGAATTGTTGACTTTATAAGATTTTGTCTCTGTGATTTTCACTCCGAACAGCGGTTAAGTCCATTGACACGATATGACGCGGTTCGGTTATTTTTCATCATTCACCTACTAACAAAGAGTGCTAAGAGCTACGAAGAATAGGAAGTGGTGGAGAGCCGTTATTGGCCACTTCCTGAAGGGCCACACCATAAAGAAGATGAAGAGAAGAGGAGGCGGAGGAGGAGATGGAGGAGAATGAAGAAGAAGAAGAAGAAGGACGAAGAGGAGGGGACGAAGGAAGAAGAAAAAGAAGAAGTAAAGGAAGAAGAAGAAGAAGAGGAGGAGACGAAGGAAGAAGAAAAAGAAGGAGGAGGAAAGGGGGAAGAAGAAGAGGAGGAGGAGGAATAGGATGATGATGATGATAAAGAAGAAGAAGGAGGAGGAGGGGGAAGATGAAGAAGTAGTAGTAGTAGTAGTAGTAGTAGTAGTAGTAGAAGAAGAAGAAGAAAAAGAAGGAAAGGAGGAAGAAGAAGAAGAGGATGAATAGGATGATGATGATGATGATAAAGAAGGAGCGGAAGAAGAAGGAGCGGAAGAAGAAGAAGAAGCGGAAGAAGAAGGAGGAGGAGGAGGAGGAGGAAGGTGAAGAAGAAGATGAAGTAGTAGTAGTAGTAGTAGAAGAAGAAGAAGAAGATAAATAAGAAGAAGAAGAAGAAGAAGAAGAAGATGGCAAAAGATGTTGATTAAATTTGCATGGAATGAAGCGTCAGCCTCTGATTTTATTAGAAATAATTATTAATTTTGAAGATAAATTAGGTGCATTGACAAGCAAAAATTTGATGTTGTAAAATATTTATTTTGTAAGGCAAATGCTTTTCTTCATCTTAATGTTACGAACGATTTACCTGCGTCTATACAATAATGGCTGATTGCTGATATTGTTGATGTTTGTGTTTGAGTTGCATCTGAAAGGCGTTCCAAAAAAGGAAACTTTATCTGCTGATAAAAAAGGAAAGAAACAAGATTCAAGATCATTTCGAGATTAAAATTATTTTAAGATAATCTCCATTTTAAAATTTACTTTTGACTATCTCTCTCTCGCTCGCTTTCTCTCCCTCTCTCTATGTTTACCTCTCTTTGTTTTCACTTACTCACTATTAACTATCTGCCTATCGCGTATTTTCCGTCTCTTCTCTGTCTCAGACTCAGTAATGTCTTCTTTCCTTCTGTTCTTTCCTTTCCTTCTTTCTTTCTTTCTTTCTTTCTTTCTTTTCTTTCCTTCTTTCTTTTCATTCCTTCTTACTTTTATTCTTGTCTTTCCTTCTTTTTTTCTTTTTTCTCTCTTTCTTTTATTTCTCTCTTTTTTTGTTTCTTTCTATTTTGTTTTGTCTTGCTGCATTCTTACTTTCTATCCTATCTTTATTTACTCGTTGTTACTTTCTTCAGTTTATTTCTTTATATCTTTATTTCAGTATCGCACTTCTTTTTTATTTCTTCGTTGTTTCTTCTTTTCTTCCTTTTTCTTTTTTCCTTCTTATTTTCTTTCTTTCTTTTTTCCTTCGCTTCTTTCAGTTCGACGATTCTGTATTTTTCTTCGCTTCTTTCTTTCTTTCTCTCTTTCTTTCTTTCTTTCTTTCTTTCTTTCTTTCTTTCTTTCTTTCTTTAACGTTTGTTCAATCTCACTGCTTCTTATTTTCCTTAAGCCTCTCCATTCTCTCTCCCTCACTCTGTGTTCTTCCGTTTGTTTTATATCTCTCAATATCTATCTATCTATCTATCTATCTATCTATCTATCTATCTATCTATCTATCTATCTATCTTACTCTATTCATATCTATCTATCTATCTATCTATCTATCTATCTATCTATCTATCTCACTCTATTCATATCTATCTATCCCACTCTATTCATATCTATCTATCTATTTATATATCTATCTATCTCACTCTATTCATATCTATCTACCTCACTATTCATATCTATCTATCTATCTATCTATCTATCTATCTATCTATCCATCCATCCATCCATCTATCCATACTCTATTCATCCATCCATCCATCTATCTATCCATCTATCCATCTATCTTACTCCTATTCATATCTATCTATCTATCCATCCATCTATCCATCTATCTATCTATATCTATTCATATCCATCTATCCCACTCATCATATCTATCTATCTATTTATATCCATCTATCTATCTCACTCTATTCATATCTATCCACCTCACTATTCATATCCATCTATCTATCTATCTATCTATCTATCTATCTATCTATCTATCTATCTCACTCTATTCATATCTATGTATCTCACTAATTTTATTTATTTATCCATCCATCCATCTCACTCTATTTATATCCATCTATCTATCTATCTATCTATCCATTCATCTATCTATCTATATCTCATATCTATTCATATCTAGGCATCTATCTATCTATCTATCTCACTTATTCATATCTATCTATCTATCTATCTATCTATCTATCTATCTATCTCACCCTATTCATATCTATCTATCTTACTATTCATATCTATCTATCTATCTATCTATCTATCTATCTATCTATCTATCTATCTATCCCTAAATCATTCCTTTATATTTTTCTATTCTCTTTCCTTTCCGTCCCTTTCTTTTTTCCTCCTCTTCAATATTTCTCTTCCCCATTTACCTCACTTTTTTCTTTATTCCTCTTTTCTCTTTCTTTACGTCACCCGCCTTTATCCCCACTATCTCACTTTCCTTTCGTCATTTTCGCCCCTTCTCTCTCCCTTATCCCGTTACTTTCCACTCTCTCTCTCTCACTGTCTCTCTCATTCTCTTTCACACTATATCTCTCCCACATTCTCACTCTCTCTTTGACTCCCTCTCTCACTCAATCTCTCTTTTTCACTCTTACTGTCTCACTGACTTTTTCTCACTCTCAATCTCCCTCACTCACACACTCTCACTATATCTCCCACTCTCTCTCTCACTCTCCACTCTCTCTCATTCTCTCTCTTTCCTTCTCTCTCTCACTCTCTACTCTCTCTCAGTCTCTCTCACTCTTTCTCTAACTCTTTCTCACTCTCTTATTGTTTCTCTTTCTTTCACACTCTCTCATAATATCGTACTGTTTCTCTCTCTTTCCCACTGTCTCACTCTCTCTCTTTCTCAACTCAAATTCCCACTCTCTCCCACTCACACTCTCTCTCTCAATCTCTCTCACTCTCTCTTTTACCCTCCCCCCTCTTTCTCTCTCTGCATTGCTGAATTTTTTTTTCGTCTCTCATGAATTTCTAATGTGCTGAAATTTTTCTTCGCATAAAAATTCAAACTGAGAAATCATTGCAAATCAAGCGCTCAAATTATAAGTGGCCATATTAACTTTTAATGAGCGTGAAACCCAAATATTTTCCCCCTTAACAGAGGATGATAATAGGCCGATCTCCATCTTGAGTCGGACAGTTTCATTCGATTTCATGTGGTCACCAGTCAGCAAGACATTCACCTGAGCACGGACGAACACACCATGCTATTAACATGACACTTCCTATGGGATAGACATTAATTCGAAATGAATGGCTTCGACCCATTTTTTCTTTGCCACCAATATTCAAATTTCCACAGCATTTATGTCTTCACGCTTTCACAATAAAATAAAATGGCAGCAAATCTTTTCACTCTTTCACCGATCTACTCAGCATCCTCCCCCCTCGTAGTGTCTGGTGGGATTTCATTGTAAATCGAGTTACATCCAAATGCCTTCAATTCTACAACGTTCTATGTAATATTTTCACGGATTTCAATCATGCACTTTCGATTCTTCCTCGGATTTCAATTTCTTACGGCCGATTTAAAAGATTTCTTTGATTGTTTTCTAAGTACTCCAACAATGATGAGCCCAATTTCTTACTGTCTTCTTCTTCAGTTATGTTCACGTCTCTAACAAGATCCAAACCGCAAAAATGACCGATTTCTTATACTTGATTGATTTGTTCATTTACTACAGCTTTTCAATCTTTTCCAGCTTATTTAAAGCCGGATTTGTTTTTTAGATTATAAGAATTTTTATTGTTGTACGGGTGTGGTGGGTAATAATAATTTAGTGATACACTTGTTAAAAATAATCAAGAGTGGTCTCCCCTTATTTCGTAACTCTCCTGTTTGAGAGAGCTATTTCTGTTTATTTTTTAATATAAAAAGACACTATACGCAAACCTTGTATTCTCAGTTAAAAAAGGCCTTTACCTGCATTCTTTTGTCATTACAACACGTACTACTATTTAACCCATACACGGGGAGGATAAGAGTTGGATTCATACCTAATCAGAATTTGATGAGCAAACAAGAAATTAAGATGTAGGTATAAAGTGGGGGATTCATTTGATTTACAATCAATATATAAACTAATCCCTCACTTTGTTGCCTGTGTAGTTTCTATACATTTCTATTCTAGAGAATGTAAATAAATCTAAAAGACATGCCTGTGTAGCTAATCAGTATTTCATTGATTGATTGATTCGTTTTCTACGGCTTATTAACAAAACAAGAAATTATAATGTGAATATAAAGTGGGGGATCAATTCTATATTACAATCAATACGTTAACCGAGCCCTCATTTTGTGGCCAAAGGAGTTTCTATATATTTCTATTCCAGAGAATGTAAATAAATCTAAAAGACATGCCTGTGTAGCTGATCAGTATTTCATTGATTGACTGATTCGATTTCTACGGCTTATCAACAAACAAGAAATTATATTTTGGATATAAAGCGGGAGATCAATTCTATATTACAATCAATGCATAAACTAAACCCTCACTTTGAGGCCACCATAGTTTATATACATTTAAATTCCAGGGACTATGAATAAATCTAAAAGACATGCCTGTGTAGCTAATCAGTATTTTTTTGATTGATTGATTTGTTTTCTATGGCTTATCAAGAAACAAGAAATTATAATAAAAGCCATAATTTTATGTTTAGATTAAAAGGGTTTAGGGGATAATAATGGTTTAGTGATAGAATTCTTAATAATTAACTCATAGCTGGGGAGAAGATGTGAGTACATTGCCTTTCCCAAATGTTATTTGAGCGTAAGTGAATATAATGAACCAAACTCAAATTCAGAAATCGTCTACGCTACCTTGTGAGTGATGAATTATTTCCGGCCATTCCACTTCTTTGCGGCAAACGAAACGTTTCAAGCCTCTGTCTATTGTAGGGCTATTTTCATAGAAAAGGAATTGAAGAGGAATCTTTCTTATTTTCCATCAGTTCAGACCTTCACAGCTAAAACTTGCCGGGCCATATGCACAAGGTTGTCTAATCCTCGTATCTTTCTTATTCCATTGGTAACGCGGAAATTCCGGTCGCAATTTTTCATCAAATCTTTAATGATAACAAAAATTCCTGATCAGATGTTTCTTTAATCATTAGGATATTAACGTCGTCAATTCTAGAGTCAACTATTTTCTTTTTAATTCGAGTGAAAACCAAAACAATGTCTGCATTTTTTACACGAAAATGAATTGAAACTATATCTAACTTTTTGAGTTTAGTGTCAACTGAACCTTTTCTAATCTAGTATATAGTGAACATATGTCTGCCTTTTTCTTATAGTGTAAACTGAACCTATGTCTGCCTCTTTTATTATAGTGTAAACGGAACCCATGGCTGCTATTTTATTATTGTGTAAACTGAACTTATGTCTGTTTTTTTTTTCATTATAGTCTAAAATGAACCTATGTCTGCCTTTTTTATTATAGTGTAAACTGAACCATTGCCTGCTTTTTTATTATAGTGTAAACTGAACCTATGTCTGCCTTTCTTTATTATAGTGTAAACTTGACCTATGTCTGCCTTTTTTTATTATAGTGTAAACTGAACCTATGTCTGCCTTTTTTATTATAATGTAAACTGAACCATTGTCTGCCTTTTTTTTATTATAGTGTAAACTGAACCTATGTCTGATTCTTTATTGTAGCGTAAATAGAATTTACGTCAATATATTTTGAGTGTTAACTGACATATCTAGTTTTTTTTGGCGCTACCGTAAACCCAACATGTCTGCCATTTTGATTTAAATTTAAGTTGATTAACTTTTTGTGTAAAGTATAATCTGAACCTTCGTTGACCTTTTTCCCTCTATTGTAAATCGAACCTCTTCAAGCCTTTGTTATTCTAGAGTAAACTGAAACTATGACTCTCATTTTTAATCTAGTGTAAAGAGAAACTATGTTTCATGTTTTGGCTCTAAAGAAAACTGTACAAATATCTACCTATTTTATTTTTGTGTAAAACAAAGCTACATCAGCCTTTTCGACAATAGTGCAAATTGAAGCTTTGTCTACCCGTTTGACTCGAGTATAAAATATACCTGTCTATCCTGGTTACGACGATGAACTACATCCGGCAGCAAGGCTTCTGATCGGGAGATTGGAGGTTTTGAAGAACGTAGAACAACTTCTTAATTGCTGTTATGCCCAGGTTCATACTGACCCGGGGTGGTAACACCTGTTGGGGTCACAGCTATAGGCAAATAGCTAAAACACTATGAAAGCATAAAAGTACATTTTTATAGTAAAAATACTATCAATATATTTTATATAAAAATTAACAACAATATATTTTATTTGTAGTTGTAGGCCTAAAAGTGCGTCCAAAATATGTACATTTCAGTATTAAATATTCCGTAGAGGTGGATATGCCGCTAAAAAAACTCAAACAACCAATATGAAAGAATTCTTCATATAAAATCCTACAATTTCTTAAAGAAATCAAACTGTATTCCAAAATATAACAAAACTACCCCATAAAACACACATATCACCGTCTCTAATAATCATGTCCATACAAACATGTATATGGTGATATTTTAAGCGTCGCTCAGATGTGGCACAAGGCCGAAATCATGCAGCACCGAGTGAGGATCGAACTCACTACTCAGTTGTAATTACTCTACCGGGACAAGCTTGCTAACCATTAGGCCACGTCCAGGTGTCCCTATCCACTAAATATGTATATGCAAAAAAGCTGAGTATCATCTACCATTTATTCAACTGTGAAAGCAGAATAACATATATCATTATTTGCATTACTCAGACTACTGTCCTCATCTTTGTAACCATATTTATTATTACAACGTTTCGCTCCGTCCTTCTTCAGGTGGTTGGAATGTCGAACTGAACCCTTTTATTTTACTCGCTGGGGTAGACTGTTTTAGTTCCACGTGCCATATCTAATGGATATTAGTTATCAGTTATCTCCTGTTAATTCACCTCTCCAAGTTCTCCACTGCCTTAACCGGGTATTGAACTCACACTCTTTGGGTTTTGTCACTGGATCTAACCAACACCTTTAACGTATATCATCAGTGTATTACTTAAAAGCTCACATAAAAATTAAATTTCGACATTAAATGACCCATGAAGGAGTTGATATACCGTTCAACAAGAAAATCAAATCAAGCCTATATTTTCCATTCTTGTGTAAACTGAAAATATCTGTACATTTTTACTCTAGAGTTAACTGAACCTCTGTCTGTCATTTTTCTAGTGTAAACTAAATCCATGTCTGTTCTTTTTTTTTATTACAGTGTAAACTAAAGATGTCTACCGGTTTTCCTCTTGTGTAAACTGGAGCTATATATTACCTTCTTCCTCTAGTGTAAATTGAAACTGTCTAACCTTTTCAAATAAGCGTAAACTGAACATACGTCTACCATTTTGTCTGAAGTGCAATCCGAAAATACGTCCGCCTTATTCACTGTAGTGGTAATTGAAGCTGCGCCAGTCTTTTTTATTCTAGTGTAAACTGAACCCATCTCTTACTGTTTTACTCTAGTTGAATTTAACCTTTGTTTGTATCTTAAACATTACTCTAAAGCATACATATGATCAGCTTTTTTTTATTCTAGTGTAACCGGATCTATGTCAACCATTTTTTAAAAATCTAGTGTATACTGAACCGGATTTTGCCATTTAGTCATAGTGTAAATTGGACCCATGTCAGACCTTTTTTTAATTTAATCTAAACTGTACATGCATTTGTCATTTAGCCACTAGTGTAAACCGAACCATTGTCAGACTTTTTTATTATAGTGTAAACTGAACTTGTGTCTGTCTATTAGACATTAATATTAATCGGGCTCAAACTACGTACCTTTTTGACTCTAGTAAACTGAAACATTCGGGCGACTCTGTATTTCTTTCGAAACCACCTTAACGTGAGATAGTTAGGTACCTTTTTTAAAGTAAAGATAAAATTTCAATAACTCCATTGAACTTGATTTAATTTTTCAGTACAGTGATCCCTCGCTAATTCGCGGTTCTACAATCGCGGATTCAAGACTTCGCAGATTTTTAAAATATATATATGGGAAATATATCGCGGAGTTTCTGGAAAATTCTAGAAAAATCGCGATATATGAACACCTAAAAATTTTCATTAAACTCATTAAAATATGAATAATAAATATTATTTCCTGGTCTATGAACAACAAAACAAGCGTAAAATAGCAATAGAAAGGGCACCACCCTTTGAAGAGACGTAAAATACAATTATCGGCTGCACATTAGAAGTCATCATCACCTTCATCAGCATCATTTCTACTGGGCAGCAAATTCATCACCATCATCATTCAAATTCTACTTCAAATTCTTTCGTGTTGAATACAGTAACAATCTTTACTTTTTTTAATCTAAAGTGTTATTGCTTAACAGTTGTCCTTGTTATTCATAGAGTACTGTCATGGGTGGGTTGTTAACAGTACAGGGAGGGTTTTAAAAGTCCAAAATACACGTTAAATAAATATTGTAAATATGGTGTCCCTACTTCGCGGAAATTCAGTTATCGCGGCCCGTCTCAGAACCAATCTACCGCGATAAACGAGGGATCACTGTATTTGTCCAAATTTGGATTCGTCTTGTCCATAATACATATTTTGCTAAATTATGAATATTTTGTTTGAAAAACATTGTATTTTGATTTCAATATTAACCGCTCAGTAAATTATTTGAAATTACCAACATTTTCAACTAATTTTCAATACACGTTCTGAATGGTAATTCATCACTGACTAATGTGAACAAAACATATCTGGCTGTCTCTGTTTGAAGAAATACATTCTGCTATTGCGACAGTAATTTCTTAGATTTATTTGAAGTCGTTTGCACTAAATGGCAAAATCAAAGCAGCTAATCATTGAGGTGAGAGCACAACTTGAAATGTTATTCAAAGAAAGCTACTCTCAAAGACAAATTGCCAAGAAGTTGAAGATTTCTGGATATGGGGTGCAATATTCGTTACAAAAGGCAGTTAGAAACTGGCACAAATGTTGACAGAAAAAGAGCTGGAGCACCAAAAGTGACAAGTGCTGCTGAAGATAAACACTTGATTATTGAGAGCAAAAGATATAGAAGGAAAACTGCTCCAGAGTTGACAGCTGAATTTAATTCGAAATCGACCAGTGTTTCGCTCTATACTATGAAATATCGACTTAGATCAACTCAGGGGGATCCATAGCCATTAAGAAACCCCTGTTACGGAAGGTGAATAATATTGTTATGAGAAAAAATATTTGAAAAATGGACATTAAACAAATGGTTAAATGAATTGTGAAGAGACGAGTCCAAATGGAAATTGTTTTGTAGTAAGAGTTGAGTGTATATCAGAAGAAAGCTAGGAGAACGTTTAAATAATGAATGTGGGATTCTAACAGTTAAGCATGGTGGTGGCGCTGTTATTTTTTTTTGGGGGGGGTAGGGGCAGAGACGGCTGGGGATTTGATTCAGGTCAAGAAAATCATGAAAAAAGAACAAATATATGTTATCTGGTTTACGCATAATTGGGAAAAACATCACCTTTCAAAAGACAACGATCGAAGACACTTCTAAATTATGTCAAAATTATCTCGAGTGAAAAAAGAATAACATTTTTGAAATTATAACCTGACCTTCTCAATTTCGAGACATCTTTTCCATTGAACTAGTATGGTAGAAACTGGATAGTAGAGTTCGAAGAGAATATGCAAAGAGTGAGAGTGAGCGTTTTCAGTACTTCACGAATGCTTGGGAAGGTCTGCTAGCTTATTTTTTTCACTGTTGGAAAGAATGAGAAGAATTTGTAAATCAGTAATTAAGGCAGGTGGTGGTTTTATTGATGAAAACTAGATATGATGCTGTTGTATGATAGATCATTTTATAGTTAAACACATATTTTTGTAAAAATAAAAGCAAATAGACTTTAAAGATGTACAAAAAATATCTAATTGTAAAGTATTTTATAAAGAAATGCAAGGACATAAAAAAATTCCTTGTAGTGTACGTATGCCTTTTTTACTCTAATGTAAACCGAATATATGTCAGCCTTTTTTTGATCTAGTAAAGCCTATCATTACCTTTTAGTGCCAAAGTGAAACTTTATCTACCTGTTTTGTGTAATCAAAACATGTGTTGGCTTTTTTTTTAATAAAGTTTAAATTAAACTTCTCTCTGCCTTTTTTACTATAGTCGAAACTGAATCTATGCCTTTTATTAATATAAGGTAAAACGAACTTACGTAAGCCTCTAGGATAAACTGAAGCTTTGTCTGTATTTTTTATTTAATGCAATCTGAACTTATTAGTGCTTTTTCTAGTATACTAATATTTGACTCTAGTGTAAACTGAACTTATGTCTACAGTTTTGACTCAAGTGTAGCCTCAACGTATATTTTACTTCAGTGTAAATTGAACCTATATCACTATTTAAGTCAAGTTCAAACCGAACCGAGGTTTATATTTTTTACTTATGTGTAAACTGATCCTATAATCACCTTTTTTATTTTAGTGTAAATCGAACCTATGTCTGTTTCTTTATTCCAGTGCAAACTGAACCTACAGTGTGCAATGTGTAAATTGGCGCCATTTTATATTTTTAATTCCGCGCATGCGTGTTGTTTGTTTTTGATTTTGACCACTGCACAGTATAATAACATCAGTTATCACCATATGTAAGAAAAAGGACACCATGACGCAATTCAATCTGCCAGAAATTTGGAAACGGCATGCTGTCCTGGTTGTCATTCGCACCGGAAGCTACAATACGAACATTTCAGAGTGTTTGGGTGTCAATCTGAGGAATGAACCCTAATCTCCTCGGATTTTTAGCACGACGCTTTTTTGTCGTCTTCTTTTTCTTCTTCTTTGTGTGCCGTATCGCATCAGCACTTTGACGATCAGGGCTCTCCACAATTTCCCGTCCTTTGTAGCTCTTAATAAATTATGTATTTTTCTTATCTCCCCTAAATCTTGTTCTGCCATCCATTTAATCAAGCTCATTGTTGTTATTCTTCTTGGTTCCGTCTCGCTTCCGGATGCTGACGATCATGGCTCTCCACAATTTCCTGCACTAAAGTTTGTCTTTTTCTTATCTCTCCTAAACTTCGTTCTGTCATCCATTTATTCAAGCTCATTATTCTTCTTTTAGGGGCCGAGTCTCTTCAGGATCATGGCTATCATGGCTCTCCACAATTTCCTGTCCTTTTTAGCTCTTAATAAATTTTGTCTTTTTCTTATCTCTCCTAAACCTTATTCTGCCATCCATTTACTCAAGTTCATTCTTCACTTTCTTTGTGCATTTTTGCTGTACCCTTTCAGAGGATTTTGTATTTTTGATTATCTAAGAGATATTCCAGACTACTAGTAAAATAATGAATATTGATTGATTGATTTTTTTTAGGCTTATCGACCCTTTTCAAGTTATTTAAAGCCAGAAAATATGTTTAGATTGTAAGACGTATTTTTTATAATAATGATTTGACGATACAAGTCTTACTATTTAACCCATAGTTATAGGGGAAGAAGAGGTCGGTTCATACCTTTCCCTAGGGCATTAGTGCGTAAGTGAATATAACAAACTCAGTGGGAATTTGAACTCGGTTTATTCGATTCAAAATCCCAAAGCATTATTCATTGCACCAACCGCACCACCACGCTTACAGTACCTGGTCTTTTCAGGTGGTCACCCAGCTAAGTACTGATCAGGCTGAACATTGCTTAACTTCGGTGACTGTGTGGAAATCTGTGTTTCAACGTGATGTGGCCGTGAGTCTATAATAGTAAGTTCGGTCATTGCCAGTCCAGACTAGACGGTTTGTAGATCGTATTACGTTTTAATGCCTCTTTATGCGCTTACCGTGTGATAAATGTATCTGTAAATATTAGGCTTGGATATTTCGCCTTTCTGTAAGTACGATTATGTCACTATAATGAAATCATGAAATCGAAACCACAATCATTTATTAAATCGAATATCAATCTGTTAAGCGCAATGGATAAATCGATTAGTTTCATCTGTTCGGTAAGCGGTGGTTAATTTGATGTCTAATTAGGTTCGAAATGAGCCATAATTAATTAAACAAGGGACAGTAAGACAAGAGGTCTAATTGCATCTGCTTTAAACATATCGTTATAATTACACGACCTTATATGAACGATTTCATACAAATATGGTGGGAAATTATAGAAGCTCTTTAACTTATAACAGAAAGATTATGTTGTAAATGATCTCATTTCAAATGCTTCAAACGTCCATGTATATTTCAAAGTCTACAGCAAAGTTAAACAGTTTAAAATCAACAAGATAAATATGGTTTGAGTTGAACTTGGCAGATTGTTTTTATCACACGTCAACCATTGTGAAATTATTTAATGGCGAAATTGGTATTTTTTCTATCTGTATAAGGATCTACTTGATTTGAGGATAAATAAAAATTGGTTGTTTGTCTATGAGACTATAAGCATTTACTTGGTTAAGGAATAGATAATTCTTAGTCCTTTATTTGAGTCTATAAGCATTTGCTTGGTTTCTCATGCGATTAATATGTCGCTTATATTTTAGTCTATAAATCTTGGTTAAGATAGATAATTCTAGGTCCTTTATTTGAGTTTATAATCATTTGCTTGGTTTGGCATGAAGTAAATATGTGTCTATTTTAGTCTATAAACATCTACTTGCTTCAAGAATAGGTAATTATTGGCCCTTTAAATCTATAATATTTACTTGGGATGAGAAGAGACAAATATATGTCGCTTATATTTGAGTCCGTAAGCTGCTTAACTTGATTAAGGTATAGGTAAATATTTCTCAATTATATTTGAGTCTATAAGCATTTTTTTGGTGTGGGAATAGATAAATATCGGTCCTTTATATTTGAGTTTATAAGCAATTACTTTGCTTGAAAAGAGATAAAGTTGTCTCGCTTATATCTGAGTCTATAAACATTGACTTGCTTTGAGCCACCATTAACAACTTCAAATGCCGATCGTCATACGAAAAAGGCGGTGCCGTGTATCTGGTAAGATTGGAAAAGCATTGTCTATTACTGGAACAGTGGAAAAGTGTCTGTGGTTCGTCGTATTATTTCTTGGAAACTTCGGAATAAAAGAACAGAATCAAAGCTATGAATAATCATTTGTAATTCGGGTTGGCGAAAGTCCATTCGACTGGGAATTGGATAGGGTTAGAAGTCGCTCCTTGGTAGCAGTCGAACCAGTTTAGAACCTTGTTGTGAACGTCGATCTACGATCTAGTCTGGGTGTTCAAAAGGGCAGTAAAAAAGTCTGAAGTAGATGGCCACTTATTTTCTTCACGCGACACGCTTGGCTCCTTTCTCAAGCTCTCCATTCTCTCCTGATAAGTTGTCCTCTGCCACTTTATATACACTTAAGATGGGGCTCCAGGCTACTTGGCGCGAAGCTTTGTTTCGGCTGACATCTCAACTCACTTTGATTTTGTTTTGCTGTTTTTTGATTGGCCAAAATTCTTTTATTTCCCAGCGTTCCTTTCTTTTTCATTTTTTTTTTTTTTAGCGGAAGTTATTTGTCGAGTTACTCTTATTTTCGTATATTTCTAGTCACAATAACTAAATCCTGGTCTAGGAAAACATCCGTCGTTCAGCCGTTGTTTTGTCTTTTCTTTATTCTCCCCCCCTTTTTTATTTAACGTTTGCTTTTTCATTACTTGAGAGAGACGTATAAAGAGAGAAGGATAAGAAGAAACAGAGAAAAGCAGAGGGAAGTGTTTTAACGTAAAGAAAATGGCTTATTTTTATCTTTTTATTTATTTTTATTTTTATATTTATTTTCTTTATTATTTTTTTACGTTCGGCTTCACCACAAATCCTTCCACAAAATTAGACGTTGAATTCAGAAGATGAAGAAGACACTCGAAACAACAGAAATGTGTTTCTACAGAAAGATGCTGAGGATAACATGAACCGAACATGTAGCAAAGAAACTGTTTTATAAAACAGAAAGAAAACTTATAATTAACATCAAGAAGATGTGGTTGAAATTTCTGGGGCTCATAATGAGGATAGAAGGCTTGGAAAATCTGATACTCACAGGACAGATTGAGAAAAAGAGGAACAGAGAAAAGCAGCGCGTAACATACTTGATAATCTTGAGCAAATGGATGGTAGAAGAGGATTTGTGAAAATAACAAAGAGATATAACTTATTAAGAGATATAAAGGACAGGAAGATGTGGAGAGCCATGCTTTTCTACGTTCTGAAGGGACACAGCACGTAAAAGACGAAGAGTTTTTCTTTAACTGAGAAAATGGAATTGGTACACCTTGACCGCAATGTTATTCGACACTCGTGGTATTCACGTGACCTTGCACGATAGAACTGACACTTATTTCAACCTCAACAAAATTCTCTAAATAGAAAAAAAACTTCAGTTCTCTGTGATTCTGAAAAACCATTTCCCTCCCGTCCCAGATAGTTCTGGGATGATGGAATCAAGAAAGTACCGTAAAGGTGATGATATATAGTTGAACAAACTGGCACATATGTGTTTGAAGAACTCTGTGTACAAATATCGAAATAGTGTCTTTGAAATCCAGTTAAACATTTGCATTTTTAATCACTTCGTATATTTCACCCCAGGCAAGGCAATAAAGCCTCTAAGACGCAAGTTGTTACTGAGCGTGAGATAATATAAGAATAGAACATTAATAAGGAGAGAGAACCATAAAAGAACAGTAATTATGAAAACAGAAGATGCTTTTTGAAGATCAAGGTTGACTGGAAAGCCAGAAGCCAGACTAAAGTTCCATAAGCAAGAGGTACAAGAAAAAGAAATGTTAGTATAGAACATAGGGTTACATGTAACCATTTAAGCTGTAAAATGATAAGACAGCGCAGCCAATCTAATACTTTATATGAATCCATTAGCTCTAGATAACAAAGAAGAACGCTCATCAGAACAATTACCATGAAAACAATTACAGAAAAGGCAGAGGGAAGCCATGTTACAGCGGTGATAAAGTGACTGAAGCCGAGATGCCAAGTCAGGACCAATAACATTGTAGATTCATCTTTGTATTTTATCAAGAATCCCACACTCTGCCATTCGGATGCAAGGAGTTCCTGTGTGTTAGAGAATATGAGAAAAACTACTATTGATGAGAGAGGGCAATAAAAGAACTGGAATTAAGAAGATAGAAGGTAAAGATTGACATTGCATTTAAATTTTTGAAGATCAAAGGCAATAAAGCCACTAGGATGCAAAGGGGTTACTGAATGTTAGAGAATATGAGAAAAACTACTATTAATGAGAGAGGACAATAAAAGAACTGGAATTAAGAAGATAGAAGATTACGATTGATATTGTAATATACAAACTGGAGGCAGAATTTAAATTTTTGAAGATCAAAGTTGATAAGGGTGCAAGAAGCCGGGAGAGAGTTTCACGTGTTTGAGTAAAGAAACTGTTAACATAGAACTTACGGTTGCTTCTAACCATTTCACCCGTAAGATGATGAGACCTAGTCGCCAATCTAGTACGGAGGTACCATAGAGGAGAGTGATATTTATTCTGTACAATACAGAAATGTGGCCCAAGGCCGAAAAAGGGGTTTGGGGAAAGGACGGTCTTCTTCTGTCTTACCTATAACTTAGCTAGCTGCAAGCACTGACCCAATCGTACGAAACAATATTCCTTACACCAAAACAACACATTCATTCGTACCTTTCTTACTACAACCACCATAATACCTATTTGTCTCTATGAAAATACTAACTAGTTCCCATATTTACAATTCGTTTTCTGTGGGGGGAAGGGAAAAACAACAATTCTAAAAGTTAACCCTAATGAGTATTTACAATATGCATACAAAAACTATTTACAAGAAACTAAAGAAAATAAGATTAGTAATAAAACCCCCCACAATTTCCTAAATGTGACAGAAACATCACTTCACTGGCCGAAATCAATGCGGGACTATAATAGTATAAAGCATTCATTCATCCCAATCACTCACACTGACATGCACTCATTCAGACACAACAACAAATACGAAAAAAGCACTCACGCGAAAACGAAAGGCGCCCTGCATCCACCAGCGAACTGACCACCTAACGAGGGAGGGGATGGGAAATTAAACTTAAAGAAAAAAAATAGGGACAGAAATAAGAGGGGGGCAATGAGGAAAGTGCTTCAGAACAATTACCATGAAAATATTTATAGAAAAGGCACAGGGAAGCTACCTTACGGTGGTGAGAAAGTGACTGATGCAAAAATGCCAGGTCAGGACCAATAATATTGCAGAATCTCTAAATACATAGTAGAAGCACCAAAACAAATGTAATGCTCAGAGCATAGACGAATGGTAGACATAATCAATAAGTAAGATTCTGGTGAGATACATTGCCTAGCACGACACAGTGAGACTATCCTTCCTAGCTGCAAACGTAGAAACTGATTCAGTATGATCTTTCTACTTCGTATCATTGGAAAAGTTTAGTCTGTGAAGGTGCAATGAGTCATCCACCAGGAGGTTAGCATCAGCCATACTAATACATGGTAAAAAAAGCTTCTCTCAGACGATTAAAAAAATGCAAGATTGTTTTGGATACGTTAAAATTAACAGGCTGTTTATTGCTTCAGTTAATAAAATATTTTAGGTTATTTCATAAGATCAGTTGTAATTTTGACCTCATTGAACCGATCAGATTTACTATTAAGACGGGAATAAATTGTTGTGAGAACTAATGGCACCATGAAGATCATTGATAGAAATGAAGAACAACTTAAGTT